AGTTCTAGTTTTGTGAATGGTTGGTTGTAATTTTCATTGCTTTTTGAATTAAAGTTGATTATTTTTCTTTTCTTTGCTCTGTTTGAGATGCTTTGCAGTGGTTTTTTGATGAAAAGTTTTCTGAAAAGGTTTCAGCTAGGAAGTCTGCCGTCTTTTTTGTTGGTGATCTTTGCATTATTGTAGAAAAGGTGCTTGATAGGGTTTTGGACTTTTTTTTCTGCTATTTTCTGTATTATTTACCATACTATTTTTTTTGGGGGGGTGCTTCAGTTTATTTTGGATACAAAATCTCTACAGCATTTCCGTTTAGATTCTTTGAGAGTTTTGCAGGCTATGCCTCTATTTTTTTTTTTTTTTTTTTTTTTTGTATTCATCTAGATTTTTGCTGGTAGGGTTTTTTAAATTTTCCAAAGTTGCACTTGGCATGTACAAATTGCCTTCTTGCAATCACCATTGATTTGAGGTGGAGGAGTTATTTTTTATGTTTTCATTGGCTATTGAAAATAGGGTATCAGTAAAATGTGTTATTAGTTCTTCCCTATTTATGTTTGTTGCTGGTATCAATTTGAGTTTGCAGACATTTGGGAATTTTGTCCAGTTAGCTTTTTGAATATTCCTGTGGGGTCTTTTATCACTTAGTTTAGGGACTGGGTTTTCTAGTATAATTGGGAAGTGATCACTTCCACATGTATCATTATCAGTTGGCCAGGTATACTTCATATATATACTAGCTTCAAAGATTGTTAAATCTACGGCAGAGTATGTTCCTGTTGCCGGATGTAGGTGTGTATTTTTTTTTTGTTATTTAGGAGACATAGCTCTCTTTGATTTAACCCTAGAACACTAACCGTGGGCATATAGTACCAAGCGCAAATTTTCCTATTTTTAATTACAATTTTCAGTACCTGATTTTCTTACCTAAATAATATTTTTCAGTTCCTATTAATGTTAACTCAAAGTACAAAGTTTGAAGTGCCTGCATGTAAAATATTTCAAATAAAGATTTACATTTAATATTTTTTTTTGATATTTTCAAAATCGGGTATCATATACCCATGGTTAGTAGTGGTGCAACTTTAACTGATGGTTAGTGTTCTATGGTTAATAAAGTTTCTATGTTTTTACGTTTTTTTATTTCTTTATTCCCTCATATTATGTTATGACTTAAACTCGCCCATTAATATGAATGGTTTTGGTAGTTGATGTATTAATTTATGTAATTCCGTTTTGTTAGGAATTTCATTGGGCAGTATCTATATGGAGCAGAAGGTTATTGTTTTGTGAAGGGTAGATGTTATTGCTGCCATCTCCAAGTTTGTATTCAGTATTATTTCACTACGAGGCATGGTATTTATTGTTAATGAGTATTGATGAGCCACATGAAGATCTATCAGCTTATTTGATGAAATTGTAATGTTTTATGTTGAGAGTCTCTTTTTCTTTTGGGTGAGTTTCCTGTGAACATATAATTGCTGGCTTGAAGGTCGGGGGTGAGGATAATTGTTTGCTATTAATTTTGCATGGTGGAGTAATGGATAGAGGCTCGGATTGAGGAATCGGAGAGCCGAGTTTGAATTCCAGTCAAATCCATTACATTCACTTACATGCTAATACCCTTGGGAAAGGTATGAATCCTCCTCTTCTCCCTCCAGCTATGGGTAAATAGCAGGGCAGACTGGATTCTATAGCCTTGGATGGCAACTGGTCTACTGCAGAAAGAAATGGCAACCTAGTGTGGGGAAAAAATCTGCCTCGTCAGTCATGTATTGAAAGATACATGATCGCCTAAGTGAGTATCACCATGACACATAACTGACTGACCTTTTGTGTTTCATTCTGTTATTTTGTTTGTCATTATTTGATATTTTGCTTAGTTGTATATACATCTATTTACATTGTGTTATTTGAATCTCAAAAGGCAGGATGTGTGTGTGTAACAAATGCACGGCTGCAATTTTGCACCAAAATTTACATGCACATGCTCCAAGTTAGTGGGAACGCCAAGACCGACTTTGCATTTCCCAACTCCCATCGATAGTGGAAATAATCGATTTTTTCATGCTTCTACGGCAGTTTTCATGTAGTTTGCGGCCATTTTGTACTGGCCAGAGTGAGAGCCAATAGCTGGCTGCCACGAATAGGCAGGAAGATTCTATTGGCCAGCATGAGAGCCTTTTACCTGTCTGCAGAGGTGCAGTTGACGTATTTTGAATCCCCAGCCAACAGGATGAAGGGGTAGAACCATACCTTCTTTCCCAAGGATATTTGTTGCATGTAAGTGAATATAACGAACCCAACAGGAATTGGAACTTGGCTCTCTGATTAACAATTTTGAGCCATTATCCATTGCATTATCTGCACATCCAAGCTTACAGTACCTGGTATTCCAAAACAGTCATCCATTTAGGTACTGGTCAGGCTCAATGTTGCTTAACTTAAGTGATCATAAAGGAACTGTTGTTTCAACATGATATGGTCGTAAGCGTAAAGTTTGGGATCTGGCCACAATTCTTTTTTTTCACAAAAAAACTTTGGTTATAATTCATCTAAGAAATCCAACATTTTGGTTGAATTCTCAAGAAACTTTGATATTTCTTCAAGTAAAAGACTTAAAAAAAAATTTAATATTACATGAAATAAATTATATTGCATTTCAAGAGTTTTTTTGTTTTTTTTATATATTCTACTTATTCTATTTTTTACAAATTCTTAAGACTTATTGGTTACAGACATTGAATTAAAATTTTAATAATGGAGATAAAAAACAGTTGAAATAAATTATTTCAGATATTTTATTTTTTATTTTCAAATCCAAGGGACTTCTTTTTTTTTTTCAGAATATGGATTATAGTGTGTGTGTATGTGTGTGCTCGTGCGTACACATACGCAACATAAGGAAGGTAAGCCAGTTTTTGATACGTAAAACTCGTTTGAAACGCTGAAATAGACTATATTTACTTACCTCTTTCACGCCTAGAATTTCAGAAGCACTAAAACAGCATACAGTGTAACCCGGATATAAGAGAGTTGTCGGGACCGGAGAAGAAGTCTCTTATATCCGGGTTTCTCTTATATCCGGGTTTGGTCTATTTTATATACATTAACACAGGCTCTAATTTGGGACCAGAGAAAATCTCTCTTATATCCGGGTTTCTCTTATATCCGGGTTACACTGTATATTCATCGATTATTTACTAAGACGCTTGTCAAGGTATAAAAAATTTGATGTTTTTCTCTGCTGTTTAAAAAAAAAAGAAAATGTAAAAACTGAAATCGCAATTTTCAGAGCTAGTTATCTTTCAACATTTTGTTGTTTTTAAATCAGGCATGGGCAACCTTTTTTTTTTTAAAGTGGGCTGCTGTTTTTATGTATGGGGGAGTAAGAGCGAAAGGAAACATATCTTTTTAATATTTTAATAAATGCTACTTTCCTCATGGAATTTAAAAAGTGTGCTATTCAGAAGGCCAAAAGGGGCAGCAATTTGCACGGCCCATGACTGGTTTAAATTTTTAAATAATGTCAGTCAGAGGAAATTATATATATATATATATATATATATATATATATATATGTATATAGTTTTTACCCCAGAAAGGAAGATAATCCAGCTGTTATAACTATTTTTTTTTAACTGAAAAGTAAACTCTCGCCATAACAGAGGCAAGCAATAACCCACTAGTCACAAAAAAAAAAAAAATGACTGTTACCGGTGATATGCAAAAAATGTCCCTGGTGTAGATTAAGACCTTTTCCTTACCGTCTTTTATGGCATTTAAAACGCATTAAGAAAACGTGCCTCAGAATATCGCTCTATGTACAGTGTAACCCGGATATAAGAGAGTTGCCGGGACCGGAGAAGTCTCTTATATCCGGGTTTGGTCTATTTTATATACATTAACTAACACAGGCTCTAATTTGGGACCAGAGAAAATCTCTCTTATATCCGGGTTTCTCTTATATCCGGGTTTCTCTTATATCCGGGCTACACTGAGTATTTATCATTTCACCCACGGGAAACGAATATGGCACAAGGCCGGTTTTATTGTGGGTTTCTCCGAGCCCGTAGGCTCGGCCAAAAAAAATAGCCTTTTGAAGCCGATTAAACGGGTTCAGGCCCTGTCTACCTCCCCGGACGAAACCTTGCCCTTCGGCAAAGCCTCGTCCGGGTTCCTCTCTGCTAACACAGAGAGTTCGACAGAAGGCGTGCGCAGTCAAAGAATCCGGGCTACGCTGTATGTGAAATTAAAGCCTCCTGTCGGCCAATTTTATCCCTAACACTTTTCTAACGGGGACTTTCACACCAGACTCCATAACAATATGATTTAAATATCAATATAAAAAAACGAATTCGCATATATGCACAGACAATTCAATAATGAAATTAATTTTATTTTTGTTACACTTTAGCCTAGAAAATATCTCGGTAGTTGATTTTAAAAGTGACTACAAAGTACACTACAGTGACTGGTTCAGATTTTGTAGGAATATGTCCTGCTATATTTCATTCACTGAAAAAAAAAAAAAAAGAAAGAAAAAGAAAAAAGAAAAACATTGGTGATAAAAATTGGCGCTTCAGACAATATAGTGGAGTGAAGATTAATGAAACAATCATTGTGAAAAGAAAATATAGGCGCGACCGAGTCCTTCGTCAACAATAAAAATAATTTTGTTGATTTACATTACAATTCATAACTTTAAAAAAATGATAGCTGGCTTCATTCTAAAAAGCGTTTTAGAAAAAGGAAGTACTAAAGAAGCACTTGCACGAATGGGAAATATATTTCGAAAAAAATCAAAAAATGTATTTGAAAATAAAAATAAACGATAAATTTAAATTTTAACTCGCGAATTATGACCCCGAGACTTTTTTTTACCCCCTCCCCAATCCATTCGAACCCCCACATTTTTAAATAAAAAAATAAAATGTACTTAGAAACACAATATACAATAATAAAACTGATTTTATTAAGCAAAGTATAAATAAATGTACAGCATTTACCTTGGAGATCGGACGACTTGAAGATGTTGTTGGACGGAGGTGAATAACTAGAAAATCTTATTTTCTGATTTTTGGCCTTTTCGCCACGCTTTCCTCACTTTCATCTGCAAGGGTTTTCGTCTGTTTCCTCCTCCTTTTCAGAATGTTTCTGAAATGAGTTAGGCAAGTGTCATTAAATAGCGCCGTCGCATGCTCAGTTGCAACTTTTTCTGGGTGTTTCTTTCGAATAAAATCTGAAAGTTTTTCCCAAATTCCCAACATTTCCTTTATCTCACTTGTAGAGATAACCTCCTCCGTGTCACCTATTTCCTGCAAAACCTCTATGTCTCCTGCGGCGTCTGTAGCGAGGGCGAGCCTATCCTTCATGGGTTTGTGGCCTGGCATCCTCTTCTCCTCTACCGTTATATAAGTCCTCCTTGGCATCTTCTTCCAAAAAAGTCCCGTCTCGTCACAGCTGAAGACTTCATGGGGGATGTATCCTTCGGCTACTATAATTCCGGCAAATGTTTTGAGGTAATCCTCAGCTGCTTTCATATCCGCGCTCGCTGCCTCACCACGCCTGACAACGGAGTGAATGCCGGTCCTTTTTTTAAAATTCTCAAACCAGCCCCGACTGGCTTTAAACGGCTCGCCCGGTGCCCCGCCCGTCGAAGTGCCAGGGGTCTGCTGCATCAAATCAGTGTAAATAGCTCGTGCCTTCTCGCAGATTATCGCCTCTGTCACGGTATCTCCTGCGATCTGCTTCTCCGTTAACCACACCATCAGCAGCTTCTCCATATTTTCATGGATAGATGTCCGCTGTTTAGAAATTATTTTAACGCCCTTGGCTGGCGTTATAGCCTTTATCAACTCTTTCTGCTTCAGTATGGTGCAGATCGTAGAAGTGCTACGATCGTACTGCTTCGCCAAGTCGACTACACGCACACCTTGGTCATATTTTTCGATAATTTTCTTCTTTAATTCAATGCACATCATCCGCTTCTTCTTCTCGGCCCTGTTCTTCGTACTCACTTTCTTCGGACCCATAGTTGGAAAAACGAAGATTTTCAAAATAGCTGACAACACAGCACTGGTGCTTCCACAGCGAGCTAACCGCTTAACGAGAAAAACACGGGATGCTGTACGGATTAACCCAGTTAAAGGGCAGCAACTCGGCTCGGACTATATTGAGGGACTAGCGAGAGAAAAGGGACACTCAACTTCCGGGCGGCAAAAATATTCATTAAACAAGACATTTATCGGGTTCGCTTGAGTACACGAGCACGGATCGCTAATCAAAGCCATTCACATTCATCCTTGTAAATAAAGGACAAAATACTACAGATAGGTAGTAGGATATATATATATATATATTTTTTGTTACTGGAAGTAAACCTTGGAATAAAACAAACTGACTCATCAAAGACATAAAATAAATACAGTGTATCCCGGATATAAGAGACCCAGATATAAGAGAAACCCGGATATAAGAGAGATTTTCTCTGGTCCCAAAGTGTTCCCATACTTACCTAAACAAAATAGACCAAACCCGGATATAAGAGACTTCGTCTCCGGTCCCGACAACTCTCTTATATCCGGGTTACACTGTAATATATTTTTATTTAACTTTTTGGAGTTCTTTAGCATCCCGCTACGACTATCTTCTTATCCATGTTGAATTTTGGACAAATCTGTGCAAAAAATTCACAGAGCATCCCTTCATACATATTTTTCAGAAAACCTCAGTTTCTGATTAGTCTTTAATATTTAAAAATTTCATGGAATATCACTAATTTCTGTGCAAAAAAAATGGATCACAGAGCTTACCCAGCTTCATACATATTATCAGAAAATCTCAACTTCTGATTGGTCGCTTAATATTTAAATCATGCCCGAATAACATCGACCTAGTTCTTGACCTGACAAAAAAAAAAAAATAATTCCGCCAAAATCTGTCAATACCTTTTCGATCCTGTCACGTGATTACGTTGATTATAAATATCAGAGATAAATTCGCTCTCTCTCTCTCTCTCTCTCTCTCTCTCTCTCTCTCTCTCTCACTCTCTAATCAAAATGTAGTTGTAAAAAAAAATGGGTTCGCGTCTTGACCACGTGCGGTCAGACGCTATGAAAATATATTCACACACGCGCACATACACGTACGTACGAAATTTTCCAAACTACATTACAAAGATGTGAAATTTTCCAAACTACATTACAAACATACGAGACTGTTCAAACTCCATTTCAAACTACGAATATTCAACTACAAGCAATGGAAATTTAATTACAAGCATTACGAAACATTCAACTTTTCTAAAGCTAAAAGTTTATTCAGCATTTTCTTAGCTTTATAATTCTTTCAACTCTCTAACGGTGAACATTTTTAGCGACAAGTTCATTCAACTTTTGTGAGCTCGGATAAAAATATTTCATTAGTAAAAACTTTAATTCAGTTAAAGGGAATGCTGGAATTGAACTTGAGAACAATATTTTACAAGTTCACATTCTCGCTATTTTTTCTATCCTCACTTATAGGATACAAATCCTATATCATTCCAACAAATGACTAAAAAACACAAAGTAGATTTGCACACCCGTAAAATCGGATCAAAACGACTAAAAACAGATTTCGCAATTAATTTTCTGACCAATGAAAGGAGGCGATTTGCTAAACTAAAAAAAAGATAACGATCCTGTGTGAAAAAAAAAGTCAGCTATAAATAAAGAGACTCAAGTCAATCACCAGTCAGAAGAGTGCAGAGATCATAGAGGACAGAAGACTGACAGTCAGGTCCGTCACTCACTCAACCAGACACTAAGAGCAGAAAGTGGGGTAGGAAAGGAAAACAACAACAACAACAAATTTACAACTGACTCCAAAACAATTCAACCCGATAAGTACATTTTCCTCTTATCTTTTATTTCCCATTCACACTCTTTTTTTCAACTTAAATTGATCGCCCCTTTTTCCTTTCCACCTACTCGGCGGATACACAAAAACAAAAGAAACAGACATTACTCTACTACTCTGTTGAAAGACAGCGAACACATAGACATTTTTTTGTTCAAATCACATTTGCTTAAACGAACTAAAGCAGTAATCTTTTTTTACTCTATTCAACAAGATATAAAAATATACAAATTTGTTTATTCTGCATGAATGACATTAAATATACAATGTTCTATTTTCTAAAAACGTTTCTTATCGTGTTGTCTTTTTCTTGAAATTTGCAGGTTGTATTTTGTGGGCAGGGTATCCCGTATTAAATTCTCCTTTTTTAATCCGGGTACGCTGTACCCACACACACTCTAACCTCTTTTCAAAACCGGCTCCCAAAGCCTTGATTCTTATAAGAGATAAGAATATATTTTCTGGCTAACGAGGGAGCTGGAAAATATAAAAAGGAATTCCACCACCATTATTCTTTCCATGGTGCCATAAAGTCTGGGGGAAACCTCACAGCTTGTTCACTCCAACCTGTTTTCATTACTTACTTCTAAAACCGGCTCCCAAAGCCTTGATTCTTACCAGAGATAAGAATTTGTTTTCTGACCAATGGAGAGGCCAGGAAATTTGTATAACGATTTTGTAGGGAAAAGTCCCTGATTCTTCTGAGCCTTCCAAATCTCCATAAATTTGGAGAATCTACGCCTATTTGGCAGTGAGAATTCGGCCCACCGTCTGTAAGGTCGACCATAGAAAGCACCAATCAACTTCAGAACCACTTTCAAACAAAGAAGAACTTCCTGCTGGGCTGGAAAGACTGACCGTTAACCCACTACTAAAACCCAATTGAAAGCTGCATCCTTTCACCCCCTCCTTCTGTCGTGCCCACTGGACTTCTGTCGTCGACTTACGAACTCACTCAACTACAAGATTCCTATATCTACCAACAATTTCCCTACTCTACAAGAACTGTGAGTGTTTCTAAACCTTAACAAAATTCTACTCGCTTAAAGAACTTTTTAGGCGCTCAGATAAATATTTTTAGCAAGCCTTTTTTCCGTTATGAACATATTCTCTTCCCTTAAATAACATTTTCTCTTTTCCTTTTCTTTCTCTCCTAATTCTCTTTATCCATTTACCATTTTTTCTGTATATGTAAATAAAAACTTTATTCTTTTATTGTTACACAACGAACAGGAGTTTTTTTCTTTATTCGTCCGCGCCTAAAAGAAAGAGTTTGTTCGCTCTAATCTTGCTGTTTTTTACTCGCGTTTTGTCACAATTTTTTAATCTCAACCCAATTTTTAACCCCAACCCTTTGATGCGGGAAAGCCGGGACAAATTTCCCAGCAGGACGTAACACCAACAAAAATAGCAAGCCCTATGCTTGTACATCATTATACAAATATAAATATATATCTCGTTGTTGTTATAAAACCGTTTTGTGTTCCTTCTTGTTGTTTCTCTTATTGCTTTTGCGTTTGCTTACACATTCGTAAAAAAAAAATGTACGGGTTGTTTTAGGTCGTCAGTACCGCAACAGTTCGTTCGGATATTGATAGTATGATTGGAGAAAGTCCGGAGGTGGTAGTTTTTAAAAAGTCAGACTATGAAAGGGGCAGTAGTAATTAGTAGTAATATTTAGAAACTAGGTTTGTAGAGGAACGGGGGATGAAGATGTAAAGAAAACACGTGCGTTTATATTTCCTGTTAGAAGCTCCAGCTACAATAGTGTTATGGGGTCCTCCCCTTTTTCATATAAGTGGACTCGACCAGAGTGTTACTGGGACTGCTGCCGTTAAATACCCACAGTCAGAATTTACGGGGATAGAGATTGAGAGAGATTGGGAGAGAGTGAGCAGAGATTGTGATTGGAGGTAGAGTAATAGTGTGAGGTAACCGCTTGTAGAAGTCAGTTACAAGCACGTAGACTAAGGAAGTCCTACTTGAGACTGTATCGATATATATATATATATATATATATATATATATATATATATATATATATATTGCGACTAACTGCGTTCCTGGATTTACTAACAATATACCCATTGTATTATTGTGTAAATACATTTAATTCCTTATCTTTAATTCCTGCGTTTGTCATTCATTGGAGACCGAATTTCATCTCAGAATCCACAACAAATGAATGTTGGACATGGATTAAGTCCAACTGAAGATAAAGAAGACAAACAAACAAGACTGATATATATATATATATATATATATATATATATATATATATATATAAACAAATATATGTATTAACAGCAAATTACAAAGCACATAGACAGTTAGCATTGTGTTTGTGTGTGAACAACATGTGTGAACATTTGTGTGTGTGAACATTTGTGTGTGTGAACGTTTGTATTTGTTCTTTGGTGAATGTTCGTAAGAGTTCGTATTGTAGTGAATATTCGTACGTACGTGTATGTTGGTAGTGTTCTTTAACGTCTGACCGCAAGGTCAAGACGATAATTCTCTGAGACTACATTTTGCAGCAAGAATAGAGAAGAAAGAGAATGAGTGAACTCGTGCCTGTTATTTATAGCTAATGTGATCACGTGACAGGCTTCACAGCGCCTTGGCGGGAAACTTGACTTAGTCACGCACTGGAAAAATATATTGTGCATGGGTGGACTGCAACGTCCACTTGTGTGTTTATTGACCAATTAGAAGCTGATATTTCCTGAAAATATTTACTAAGCTGAGAAGGCTCTTGGGATCCAATTTTCCAAAAAGTGCACAAAATCGATTGCATGAAAATATAGCGATTATAAAATTGTCGCATAGCTGCGATTTGTAAATTGTCTATTACAAAGCAGTGTTGATTTATTATCCAATGAATGCTTGTTGTTGTATAATTTGAATTTGTGTAAGTATGTATGTATGTATGTGTGTGATGATGATGATCATTACAAGTTAGTGTCTATCTACTGAGTTATTTTTGTTCTCGGAATAAACAGGGCAGAAATACCATTAGCAGATTGCCACTTAACTACTTCTTCACGAATGGCTGGTTTCGCCGCAGTCGCACTCCTGTTCGTCACTTTCGCCGTCTCAATGTTCATTGTATAAAATACAATTATGGCACACGGCCTAAAATAGGGAATGGGTTAAGGCTGGTCTTCGCTGACTATCCTATACCTAGCTAATCCGAGTCACGACCCATTCACTCATTACAATCCGCACATTCACCATAAGAACTCATCCGTCATCAATCAATCCTCCATAATTCCGCATCCTCTCAGGGGAACCTACAAAAACGCACCCCAGGGTATAAAAATTTGATGATAATAAAATACCATACATAAAAATCTAATGATTGACAATGAGAGGGGAGGATATGAATCCCCAAAACAAACTAAATATCAAATCAAAGTAAAATAAATACAACTGATGTTAGTAGGACCCGTCCAACCCTCAATAAAGAGAGGCCGCTGTATTCTGCCCTAAGACAAAATCAAGAAGCTCCCTCGCTAAGGGAGAGGGGAAAGGAGAAAATATAGACGGACATGGGGAATCAATAAAGCTGACCCAGTCGAGATGAAAGGGGTGAAAAACAAACTAGGGAGGTTGGGAATCTCAATGTGGATCATAACCCACTCTCGTCGTCTCTTCTGCTTGTAGATCAGAGTTGTCAGTTTATATCAGTTTTAACCAGGCACCGAAGACTCTGGAGCGAACATTGGTTTCGGCTAACATCAAAAGTCTCATTGTGTCATTTTTTTTTTTTTTGATTGGCCGAAATTATTTTATTTTCCGGTGTTCCTTTCTTTTTCATTTTTTTTTTATAACAGAAGTTATGCGCGGACACCCTCCGCCTTTTGGTATTTTTCAGTCGAAAATCTTCAGTCTGATTCTGCAAACTTCCGGCGTTTTTCGGTCGGGTTCAGTCTTTTCTTCTTCTTCTTTTTATTTGTAGGTTGCATTCTCCTTAGTTAAGACAAGTCGAGAGAGATATAAAGATTTTAAAGGAAAGCACAAATGCCTTATTTTAATTCTTTTTATTTTTGCTTATATATTTTATTTTCATATTTTATCTTCTTTTTTTTTTATCGGAATCTCACTAAAAAGCTCATTCTTTTTCTCACTTCTATAAAAAAAAACCACAGACGTGAAAAATCAAAATCAAAGGATTGGCGCTAAAGTTTGAACTTCTCACATAGGGGTGAAAACTTTAGCCTCAAGCTTTTCCAGTTGAACTCAGAATCCATAGAAATGGAAAAGCGTAATACAAATCATTGTTTTAAGTACGAGTGACCATACACGACATTATCAGAAAATAAGAACGACAACTATGGTAAATTTAAATTCAACGTTTCTGAAATTCAGTAAAACATTAGATTACGGTGAATATTTTCTTAATGTTTTAAGACTACTGATTACTTAAAAAAAGGCGCTCACGTCATTTTCTTCAATCATGTTTTACAGATAAAGTCTCCGTAGAACAATATTAGATTTGTCATCAGGCTATCAACGCTCCAAAACAGCTACCATCAGGTTTTAAAATATAATGATATTTTAAATTTAAATAATATTTGTTTCAAATCAGATTAATTATACTTTAAATCAGCTAATCAAATAAAGTTTCAGAAAAATATATTTTATTTTGGGAAGATATTTTTAATAACATTGCGATGAAAGACTAAAAAAAGGGTGCTAATCAGCTATTTTAGCAACAAAAAAAAAGGAATCTTTCCAGTCAATTTAAATTAGTTTTTAAAATACAGCAGAATATTTTCCATATTGGAAATATTAAATTTAAATAATCTAAAAAGGATGTTCCAGTAACTTGGACTGATTTTAAATGTGAATTAAGTGTAAGCGTCTAATGATTTTTTTTCCTTCAGATTTAACAACCTAAGTTGTTGGGGACGTGCAGAATTTAGTATTTACGTTAGAAAGAATCAGAAGGAATTTGACTGAGTGACTTTCTGCATCCCAAACAAATAAATAAATGAAATTTTAAAAAATGCAATTGAAAAACGAGACATATTCAATTAGAAATCAATACAACATTTATATACAAATCAAACAATATACAGACAGGATAATTGATGTATGTTGTGTAGGCGAAATGTGTATGCGGTTTCTTCAGATTTCAGAATGTCTCTCTTCGTAATTGTTCGTTCATTTTTTGTTTGTGTCGATATCTGCGATTGTTGATATTAAGTGTCTTATAGAAAGAGTTTTTTAAGAGTGATCTACCTTTAACTGTAATATTTTTCTAAGGTCGTTCGTTCGTAGAGTTTACTTAGTAAGTAGTGAATTTGATTCACTTTAGATAAGCAAATGTTGAGAAATGATGTACACAGAGTTGATAGAATCTTGATCGATTATGAGTCAGCGATGTATCTTTTTGCGTGGAGTATTTTGGAAGGTTCTCTGTGAATGCGTGTTACTGACTGCATAAAGTTGGTAATTGTCTTTAACGTCTGGTCAGCAATGACTAAGACGGGAGTCGGTGAATGTTACATCTTGAAACTTGGTGATTACTGCTCCTCGGAAGGTTCACACGTTTTCTGTTTATATAATCACTGGGTGGCTCGCAGCATATGAGCGGGAAAACAGCTTGGTCGCGTGCAGGCGGTTTGATTGGTCGGAACTGACCAATCAGCAAGCCAGATTGGAGGTGATTGACCAATGAATACTTGTTATATTGTCTGAAGGTAGAATTTGGCTTACTAGATAGGAAGAGTGTATTTCCTACAAAGAGGTAAGGATGGTTGTGTTGTGGGAGATTCTACAAAGTCTTCTGGCATTTTAAACCATGGAAAGATTAACAATCAAACAACGTGTTAAAGTTTCAACAGTGCAATTGGAAAAATTGTTCGTAAATTCTAACAACTGGCTCGTTGCCAGATATGAAAACACCATTGCGTGCTCGTTTACGCCGTTCAGCTGAAAACATTACTGCAGTGCATGAGAATGTAGCGGAAATCCAGACCCCTCTATTCGTCATCGCACGCAGGAATTGAACCTCTCCACAAAAGCGTTACATCGTTTCCAATTGCACTCTCGGTTGGTCGATTATGTTGACCAAAAAATCGCGAAATGCGCGAAAATGCATTTCTGTTTGAATGTCCATTTTCGTAATAGGATTCATGTTGTTTGATTTTTAATCTTTCCATGGTTGAAATTGCCAAAGACTTAAGTTGTTAAATCTGAAAGAAAAAGAAAAATAATCATTAGACGCTTAAACTCCATTCACATTTAAAATCGGTCCAAGTTATTGGGACACCCTTTATTAGCTTGAAATTAAAACTAAAATAAAAGGTTCAAAAAAGAGTTTTCAGTTTTAAAAAGTCCATTTTAAATTTTAGGTATCACGTTTTTTGTGGAGGTCCCTCTGTATAAGTTAAAAGGACAAACGTAGGCTTCAGACAAGAATTTCTTAACCAGCTTTGCTATTAAGCAGTTGTTTTCTACTGGATTTTAATTTTTACTTTTAATTATTTCTTAGAAAATATGTTTATTAGAAGTTTTCTTAATTTCGATGCAACAACAGCAAAAGAAAAAATAACGTATGAAATTTCTTTTTTATTATAAAATGTTTTAAAGGAATATTTTGCCTATTGGAAATATTAAGTCTATTATCTTGAAATTAAAACTTCAATCCGAAGGCGCTTTGGAATAGCGGAAGATGTCTTCCAAAACATCAGCAACGTATTAAAAAAGACGAAAATTTCATTAGAAATTAAGAAAAGAATACTGGATTGTTATATAATATCGGTCCTTTGAATATGGCAATGAATATTGGACAATCTCCCCGCATGTGATGAAGAGACTTGAAGCAATAGAAAAGTGAGGGTTGCCACGCAACGACGAATTTTTTAGAGGAAATGGAAATAAAAAGGACTCACATTTAAAAGATTTTAGGTCAGGGGAGAACAAAAGACATTCGCTGTGTTACTGGCCCTAAGAATCTGCTGATATATATATATATATATATATATATATATATATATATATATATATATATATTTTAATGGACTGTGATTGGGCTGTTCAAAGGTGAATTTCCCCCCCTTGAAAGGGAAGGGAGAACTGGGACCGGACCTTAGCTGCAGTTGGAAACGAGACCGCTTAGAGAAGAGGTTCGTTTTCTCTCTGCTGAAATGGCAGGCAGCGTTTGCCCATAAGGATGCATGGGTAACAAAGTTGCTGAGAGCAACTTTTCCCTTCAGAGAAAGTTTCGAGAAGTCCTCTTAAAGAAGCCCCCCAGAAAAGAAAGTTTGAAAAGAAATCCATAAGTGGAGTTTGGAGCTAAAGCCGTTTGAGAAGAAGGAGCAAACACGTGCGTTTTTAAAAAGCGTTTTACCACGTGTTTAAAGTAAAATTCCATCTTCTAGCGGCCGTAAAAGAAAGGCGTAATTTCCCGGCGGACGGGAGGAAAATAAGTGAAGAAAGAAAGAAGTGAGTTTGGTCACCAAGAAGAGAACCTTGTCTACACAAGAGAGTAAAAAAAAAAAAAAAAAAGATAAAAACTTTTGAACCTTGAAAGGACTGAAAGTGTACTGTAGAGCTTCCCCCTTTTTTTATTGTTATCATTGACACAGCAGGGTGGGGGGGCGTAAGTTTTTTTTTGTGCATTGTAATTTTTAAGTTTTGTTTTTCTGATTGTTGAAACTTGACTAATGCATGGAATAATAATGCAACACAAAATGTACTTAGAACAAAATGTATTGAAACAAGAAAGTGTACACAATATTTACATATAGTCTTTTGTATATTCCTGGGAAGACCGTTCCTGGAGATGTGTTGACTTAGTCGCAGTCGGGTAGAGTCTCTGGATTGAATCTCTTGATTCCTCTCACTCTCTTCCCGGTACCAACCATATCTATATGGTCGGTACTCCACTATGCAAATTAGGTGGATCCTACCACAACACTGATATATATTTTACATTGTGTTAATCAAAGAATAGGTTATTTTATTCTCAGCAAAAGCGATGAATTTTTGCAAGAACCCTTATTTAGCTGGTTAGAAATAAATAAATATTTTTTCTTTGAAATTGAATCTGATTTGCATTTTTTTTCTTTCTTTTTCGTTATTAATTCGGGCAATAGTGAAAATACTGTTGCAGCAGGTTTTATTTTCTGAAAGAAAAGAAAATTTCCGAAACATATTTAACATCAGAAAATGAGAGTTGAAATTTCTAAGGCACATTATGAGCAAAGAGCTACAAAGGACAGGAAGTTGTGAAGAGCCATGATCGTCCCATAGAAGAACTTGCGACAAACGATGCAGTTCAGCTCAATAGCATTGTTACAGGTTGAGACCAAGTAGACAAAATCTGTCTATTTCTGTTTTAGCAAAAAGTGAGGTGATTGTATTATATTATTATTATTTTCGATTCAGCGAATACTATTGGTCGAAAAAGATTTCAATGCATTTTCTATGTAATAGTTTCTTTCGACGGCAAATTTTGTGCAAAAAGTGAATTACGGAGATTTTATTTGAGTCTGATTGATGATTGGTTGTTAAATGAAAAAAAAATGTATACAAACGCCTACGCAATCTCGTTTGCCGTCAAGATATTTTTGAACAAGTTTTGGAGCCGGTCATGTGACCTAAAACAAAATAAATACAGCAACGGGAGCGGATCTCATATCCTCCATGTCAAGATTCCCAGCCTCCCCCAGTTTATTTTTTGGGCGGCATCTCCTCTTTTTATATCGACCGGATCAACTTTGGTCGTATTTTTTATTTATTTATCCTTTCTTCCCTCTCCCCTAGCGAGAGAGCCTCTTGATTTTGTCTAAAAGGCAGAATACAGCGGCCTCTCTTTTTTTTGAGGAGTAGACGAGTCTATCTAACATCAATTTCGTTTCTTTTGTTTGTTCTATATGCGTCTCTTATCAGTATGATCATTGAGTCATGATCGGTTAAATACGATAACTTCGTAAAGTTGGCAAGGGCGTCTTTGGCTCTGTGAAAAGCAGTCAGTGTTTCATCTTTCAATGTAATCTTCGCGTTCTTCTGACGCTGTTGTTGCAGTAAATCTGTATGGGAAATCAGAATCTGGGAACAACCAGGAATGAACCCCCGGTAGTAATTAATTAGGCCTAACAATCTGTGCAACTGCCGGAGTGAAGTTGGTTGTGTGAGATTTGAAGTAGATGCCATTTTCTCAGGTAAGGGCGTTATTCCTTTTCCATCAATGACGTGCCCCCAAAATTTAAGTGTGGGTGCACCAAAAATACATTTCTCTGCGTTAATCTTTAGACCAAAATGCTGTAGACGCTGGAACACTTGCTCAACGTGATGACGATGTTCGGTCTTGTTTCTGCTGGCGATCTGGACGTCATTAATTGTTATGGTCCGGTTCCTTGTACCACGGTGATAGTCCAAGGTAGAACCAATAAAGAAGAACTCGAACACGGATATGGAATAACACAGATATATTACAAACAGGAATATATACAGAGAAGTAGAAAGTGTTAGTACGAACAATCAGGTTTAGTAGGGAGAACAATTTAGTCTCGACCAGTATCACTATTCCAATGTCTTGTATTTGTCTGAACGCGACTCTGTTTCGGACTGCCTCTTACTCAACTGACTGACTCGCTCGCTCTGACTGACTAACAGACTCCTGACGGACCTCACTCCAGACTTCAGACTGAACGATATTCAGCCACCCTCCCACGAGGGCGTCATGTGGCACAAGGCCTTTTTAACGTGGGATCTCCGAGCCCGTGGGCTCAGCCAAAAATATGCCCATTGAACCCGTATAAACGGGTTCAGGGTCGGTTTACCTCCCCGAAAGAGAATCCGCCCTTCGGCGTAGCTTCCTTCGGGTTCCTCCCTGCCCGAAGACAGAGAGTTCAACCGATCAGCCGGTCAGCTGGTCGCCCGACTTCAGACTGAACTCCCTGCTTCCTCTTGAGGCGCAGCATTTATTACGTATGGAATAATCCATTATGTTATTATGGGTAAGGTCCCATAACATTAATATAGGCAAAAATGAAAGGTAAACCTCTCAGCAAGATTGGGCGGCGTCTCTCCAACCAAATGACTTTCTCACAAATTCGTATAAACCAAAAGGAATAGTTATCGCTGTTTTATGGATGTCCTTCTTGGCCATTTGGTATCTAGTAGAATGCTTTCACTAGTTCAAGCTTGGGGAAGACTGTGGCGCCTTGCAGACCCACTGAGAAATCGCGCAAGTGCGGAATTGGATATTGTATTTGGTACTGTACTAGCATTCAGATTCCGGAAGTCACCACAAGGTCTCCGAGCTCCTGAGTCCGGTTTTGGAACCATATGAAGATGTTATGGGGTCCACCCCTTTTTCATACAAGTGGACTCGACCAGAGTGTACTTAGACTGCTGCCGTTAAATACCCAGAGTCAGTTAGTCAGTCAGAGTATACAGAGAAAGCAGAGATTGTGATTGAGTTGGAGGTAGAGTAATAGTGTGAGGTAACCGCTTGTAGAAGTCACAGTTACAAGTACGTAGACTCTAAGGAAGTCCTACTTCGAGACTGGATTTACCAGACTATATATATATATATTATTATTGCTACTAACCGCGTTTCTGGATTTACTAACAGTATTACCCATTGTATTATTGTGTAAATACATTTATTTGTTATATTTCATTCCTGTGTTTGTCATTCATTGGAGACCGGATTTCATCTCGGAATCCACAACAGAAGAGGAGATGGGTAAGGACTCGAAGAAGGTCGAGATTCAGCATGTGCTGAAACTCAGCTTTTGCCAACTTATATTTATCAGGCCTCAATCACCGTAGAGATGTATGCATGGGTGGGCTCGTAGTATCAATATGGTGCTCAGCATTGTGACAAACGGTTTAAGTATACCGGAATGGTGTTGTAATTTGAGAATATTTTTTTAACAGATACTGCATTCCATTGGCTTCAGGTAGGGTTGCGCTCATTGTGCTCGTGTAGATAGACGAAATCACTTTCCTGGTAAAGTTGGTCGTTCTATCTTCCAAAGAAAGGGAAGACATGTTAACGGACAATTTAAAGTGGGCGAGGAAATCCACTTCCAGGATCAGGGTTCTGGCTTGGGCTATCGTGAATACCCAAGGAAAAGATCGCCTAAATCCCAGATTTAGGGTTAACGAGGTTTCACCATATGCCTGGATTGAAGATCCATTCGCCGCTTGTAACGTATAATCTGTCTTTCTAGTCGACATATTAGACTTGGCTGGTATTACACTAATTTGTGCCCCGATGTCCACTAAAAACAAGAAGCCGGGGTTCTTATCCCGGATGTAAAAGAGACGGCTTTTTGGCATCCCTCCGGCAGCAAGCGTCTCTACTTGTTGCCGGTGTAGTCGTTTCCCGACTGCTGTGTGTTGTCCTTAGCTGCGTTCATGTCGAAGTTACACGGTTTCGTACAATGCTACGCCTGTCGTCCATATTTAAAGTGATACGAACTGATATTAAATATAGGCCTACTTCTGTAGGTGGAACGTGATCTGCGCCTTGTATGACGTAATGGATGTGACCGTCTGGTGAAATCGTTGCATGTTCGATTTTGCTGGTGCATAGCGGCCTGTAGAGCTTGTAACTGTGAGGTTAGTTCGGCTATACAATATTTAATTCTTGATAATTCTTGTGAGTCATCGACTAAAGAGACTATAGAATCGTCAATGTTTGTCTACTCACCCTCGTTAAAAATAGACTCTTCTATAAGAATTAGCTTTGACCAATCAACACCACACATTGTGAAACTCGGTTTGTTATTGGTCGAGACGACCCTAGAATGTGTATCCATGGTCAAAAATCTGTTTTCCCGCCAGGCCACTGGGAGCCTACTTTGGTTTCCCAAACTAAATAAAAGGACGAATTTCAGTCCAATTCAGTAGTCAGACCTCTTCACCTAGAGAGAAGCCCATCAACTCCACGCCAGTCAAAACTCAGACTTTGCCGCGCGAAAAATATTCTCTGACTCAACAATCCACAAACACACTCTGTCTCTCTAGAGAACAATTTCTCGAACTTCACTTGCTATACTTTAAAAAACTGATATTTCTCGATACATAACAAGTATCAGAAACTAACTATTTATTTTTCTCAGGCAGATGAAGGTACGCAACTCTGAACAACTTTGAATATTTGTATAAACACACTTACGTACATACACTGACGATTCAACCTCAACACCGAACATTTTTGTACGTTGATCAAACAAACAGTTTAATTCTGTGAACAAATCTAAGCAATACCTGCAAACGCACCCAAACACTCACAACAACACAATACACAATTAAATACGCTAATCTTCATTTATCCATGTTATGATGTTAATTTGGGGTTAATAAAGACAAACGCCAAATAACATGTAACAATAAAATGGGGTTTATTCGGTTGGTAAGTTGGTACAGATATCGCCTGAGTAGTCTATAACTAACTCAGCCCAGAACTTCTTCTACACTGTCTTTTGACATGCCACTAGTTAACGTCCTTGTTTTGTAGACGAGTTCATCTTCAAGAGGGGTGGTAGATTCCCACACAACAATCCATCAAATCTTAAACCCACAGTATATTAAATTGTATATAAATTGATGTTATTGTTCTGCATTCAACTTTTGTCTTGTTTTCAACTTCATTTGCATGATTTGTTCCAAGTATTTGTTCTAAATAATTGTTGTGGACGAATGTAGTAGAACACGGCCTCGAAATTCCTTCTGATCAATTACACAATCACCAGTCCGCAACAAGACAATAAGTTTTAAAGGTGTTACAGAAGCAGTTCCGAAGGTTCAGTTTCATGTATTTTGTCCGCGATTTCTGCCAATCGCTGTGTAGGGTCCAAGTCGCCCGGGAGTGAAACTAATAAACTCAGTTTAACCATCCATAGTTTACGGAGGACTGTGTCAGGCATAGCATTGCCACCTAGTAAGGCTTTCATCTTTCTAAGCAAATGGGAAGTTTCATAGTGTCCCAAATGAAGATTATTAAATAAGTCGTGCAACCGACGTTCCTCTGATTCGCCCGTGCGGTATAATATAGCGTCCTTCAAAGCATCATGGGATTTCTCCGCCGGTTCTTCGCTGAGGGGGTCTGCTACCTCTACTGCTACACCTGAGGGATGTTTCTCAACTAGGACAGCGTAACGAGCATGTTGAGTCGTGATCTTTCTTGCATTAAAAATTGCGTTTAGTTTGCGCAAGTCATACTTGAACGTTGGTGTGGTTGTACTTCGGCAGATTGATGGAAATTGCCGTCTCAGTATGTTCGCTGGTAGAATTTTCCATTGTTTTTGTTTAAAATGTGAAAGTATTTCTCTTATAAAATGTTGTTTTTAAAATATTGCTTTGTACATTTGAACTTCGGGGTCACCAATTTGTAGTGGGTTAGCCAATCTGTATCGGTGACAAAGACAAATTAAACTGACCCTCTACTATTTTTACTAAATCAAATGCAACAAAGACAACAGCAACAAGAGAAATAATCAAATAGGCAGATATTTGTTTTAACAGAAAATATTTTTATATAACAACAAGTACAACGATATAATGAAGTTGTTTAGAACACTTTAGTTCTTGGTTGTGTGATCAAGGGTAATATAAAAAAGTGTCGGAGTTAGCTCCTCCTTTAGTTCCTTAACCCTTCACCAGGGGTCTCTCTCCCCCTGGCTATAAATACTGGGTGACCCTTTGCCTCGATCTCTCTTTTCTCTCAGGCCTTGGGCCTTATACCACCTCGCGTTGATGAGGTGGGGTAATTCTTTTCTCTTCATTTCAGTTAATATCAATATGTGAGCTCTCACTAATAAAGCGTTTCTCAAATTCTGGGAACACGCTAAGAACAATACCAATACACGTACGTACGAACACTCACCACAAAACACACACATAATATTCACTACACAAACTCAATGTAACTGTCCATGTTCTTGTAACTTGTTGTTAATACATATATTTGTTTGTATATAATTATCGGTCTTGTTTGTCTTCTTTGGACTTAATTAAAGTCCATCATTCTCCTGTAGCTGGACTGGCTAGCAGGAAATTTTAACCCACGTTGTGTTCTTTATATCTTCTCCGCCACGGTCCGCTACAAAAGTGTTATGCTATAGATATTGTAAGGAATCAAACAGTTTATGTTGATGGTGAAATTGAATGAAATAGATTGCTTGACTTACTGTAGAGTTGTCTCGCTTCGACTGATATAGTTACGATTTCCTTTATGTTGTTAAGATATTGAGTGAGTTGCTTTCTGAATCTCGTCTTAGTTGGATTCGTCACGAGATGAGTTGATGTTGAAGAGAAATTGAATTCCACAAGCCGGGTTGATGTTAATAAAAATTAACTTTTAGCGAGGAAGTTGGGTTTCACGGATTCGTGTGACGAGTTAATTATTTTAAGGACAGTATTTAGTCACCCCCCCACGAGGGCATCATGTGGCACAAGGCCAGTTTAACGTGGGATCTCCGAGCCCGTGGGCTCGGCCAAAAATATGCCCTTTGAACCCGTATAAACGGGTTCAGGGTCGGTTTACCTCCCCAAAAGAGACTCCGCCCTTCGGCGTAGCCTCGTTCAGGTTCCTCCCCGCCCAAAGGCAGAGAGTTCAACCGATCAGCCAGTCACCCGACTTGCTCAAAAAAAAAGGACTGATTATTTTAAGGACTCACTAAGTCGTGTCGAAATTTCATATTTATAAATTTTCTTGATCCCGTGGGAGGCTCGAAAGAATGTATACCAATTTTTGGCGCGTTGAACTCCGAACAGGTCAATTCGAGGTCAGCTCGCGGCTAACCGTGCGGACGTAAGCAGAAACATGACATTATTATTTATGGACCAATCAGAAAGCATTATTTCGTACAGAACTCTGGAGCCGATTTTAATGGGTTCAGCACAAACTGAGAATGCTTAGCTGTGATCTTTTAACAGGCTTAAAACAGAATGTAAAAATCTAATTTTACAGTCTTCTGCATTTAATTAAAAAAAAATTTACAGAGGTATTCAGTTTCGAGTTTTCATAAAATTAAGGGAGGGTAACAGATGTAAAAATATTTTATATATGACTTTCTAAAAAGCAAACATTTCTAAAATAAATTCATTCATTTTTTTTAATAAGTTCTGAAAGTTTCATTAAAATCCGACAATTATTTAAATTTTTGCAAGAATTTCCACATTAATGTGTTTTCAACTGAAAAATACGCTATAAAGCTAATAATGATAAATATTACGTCGATGTAGGAGACCGTATCGGCGAGGTTACCATCATGTAGAGTTACGCACGTCGGCGATGTTGTTGGGCAGAAGTAGAAGAACACATGTGCGTTAAGATTTTCCTGCTAGCCGGTCCAACTACATGAGAAAGTTTTAATAAAGTCCAAAGAAGGCAAAGAAAAACAAACATAAGACCGATAAATATATGTAAACAAATATATGTATTAATAACAAGTTAAAGGTTACAAGTTACATGGACAGTTACATAGACAGAGTGCGTGTGGTGAATATTATGGTGCGCGTTGTGTTGTGGTGAGTGTTCGTACGTACGTGTATTGTGCTTAGCGTGTTCCCAGCATTTGGGAAACGCTGTCTCCGTGAGCGTTCACATCTGCGAGGTGGTATAAGGCTGAAAGCCTGGGGAAAAAGAGGAAGAGGCGAAGGGTCAGCGACTATTTATAGCCAGGGAAGAGAGACCCCTGGTGAAAGGGTTAACGAACTAAAGGAGGAGTTAACTCCGACATCGACATCTGAGAGATTTTCAACCAAAATTTCAAATATGCTAAAAACAATTATTTGATTTTTGCAAGAATTTCCTAAATTAACGTGTGTTTTCCTCGGGCAAAGCACAAAAAACAAAACAAACTTTTTTTCTCTATTAATACGCTGTCGTAAAAAAAAAAAAAATTAACTAAAATTTTCTACGTGCTAGAAAGGAGTAAAAAAGTTAAAAGAAATATTTAAAAAATACTTTGGTCTTTCCTCTTCATAACAACATAAACATATTGAGACAAAACTTTGTTTCCGTTGATTTATGGACCTTTTTTCATCGTGATGTACTGCATTTTTTTACGTGACCTAATGGAGGTACCTACTAAAAAGGAATAAAAAGATTTTTAATAAAAAAAATAATTAAAAATATACTTTGGTCTCTCCTCTTATTAATAATATAAACTTTTTATCGATGCAATTTCGTTTTTTATTAAGTTTGGGGCCCTTTTCATCCAGGGGATGCCACTTTTTTTTTTAGCGAAGTGGACATTCCTCATCCTATTCAAAACTCACTCTCAACTCATTTTTATATTCAACAGATTGCTCGGCAAGGAATTCTCGAT